AAAGTGCTCAGAGCGGCCGGCAGCCCCGGCGCCACGCCTCCCCCACGCGCGGGCAGGCGCATCCTCTGGAGACCCCGGCTTCGCTCTGAAGACAGCCCCCAACCCCCGCCCAGTTCTGAGAGCCTCTCGGAACCGGGCTCACTTCCTAAAATGTGGGCTTCATTTTAGGCAAGTGCCTTCCACTCCAGGAAACAGAGTTTGCACAGAAGCCGTGTGCTAGCATCTAAGACATGCACCTGCCCGCAAGGACCCCCGTCCTTCAGCTGCCCCTCCCCGATGCCCCCCGCTCCATGTGAAGAGGGGGGTTGGCTCAGCTCAGGACACAGGGAGGAAGTTTTGCCCTTTCAAAGAGGTCTCCATGTCAAGTCACAAATGTCACCTGATCTGCACTAACTCCTTGTCATTGAAAAATACTCTTTAAAATAGTAACAGTAATCTTTAACATGCTAACATTTTAAAAATTTCCTATATAATAATGATAATGTAGTAAGTTTACTATAAAAAGTTATACTATTTTTCATTAGCCCTAAAAAACACAAGAAAGTATATTAATACAGGTGTGTATCAAAGCATGCTTCCAAATCAAGCAAAATGCAAACGCTGAAACATAATACATTTTTGATAGACCACATCAATGTGTTATTTGTTAAAAGTCTACAGATCACTGTAGAGAATATAAAAGTATAATAGTTGTTTTTTTTTCAAACCCTCCCAATGTGCGGATAGTTTTTTTTCTCCCTTAGGATTGTGAAATCCTATGGCAGAGAGGGAAAGGCGAGCGGATGGCGTTTAGAATGCAGGGCGCGAATAAGGAGTGGCTTGGTTACTGCGCATCCACCGAGCGAACCAGGGAAGCAAGTCAGCACGGGGCCCGATCTTTGCCAATTTTTAGTGCATATCAATCAACAACTGGCATGCATAAGTCACCTCTTGATTTGCCCAGGTCAGGAGCAGCCAAAGACTCTTTTGGTGGCAGAGTAGAGAGAAAAGAAAACATTTATAATTAAAACAGAAAGACGGCTGAAAAGGCAAACAAGACAAGTACATGATTCAACACAAACACATAACGGCCCAAGTCAGCCATGTACCCTGCCTGTAAGCCATTAGCTATGAAAATTCCAAATGGCTGAGACATTTATGTGGCACGAATATAATGGGACATGAGAATGGAGCAAAAAAAGATGACCGATGATGATGACCTGGCGACTTGGCCGAAAAGCTCAAACTTTATTTTACTTTCTTTTCCCTGCTTCAGCAATCTAAACCTGAAAGCACACGTTTTGTTAGGAATAGTTAAAATAAAGTATATAGCCTGTAATAAAATGTCAATTGATTTAAAAACTGAAATTACAGCTTCATGTTACTGAGAAACATGATGAAATCGCTTTGTCTAATACCAGGTTAGCATCAGTTTACTTAGGTGATAACCCCAATACATCTAAAGCTACATAAGACATACTTAATAAAAACAGTATAGCCTTCAAGTGTTCATTAAGGTCAGAGATATTCAAGAAGGAACTTAGATACTTATAAGTAATTAAAAGTAAATCTCTCCACCCCACCTCCCCTTCCAGTATGATTTGATATTTACATTGTTCACCTTTCCCTGGAGGACCATTAGCTACACTTACTGCTCAAGGCACCCACATTGTAATTACACTCACGCTTTGCACACTCATTTATACTCAGAACGCCAGCAGGAGCGAGAGAAGGCAGTTGTAAATCCCAGACCCCGGGCAGGTACTGGCCCGGCTAAGCTCCAGGCTCTTGCCTTTGAAACGAGGGTGGAAATCCCTCAGAGTTATTACGAGGATTAAGTAAGATAAGGCAGGTCAAGCTCTCACTGGCAGCTATCATCTTGAGTCTTGCTATTGCGAAAGCTGTAATCATGGGAGAAGCGTGGTTACCTGAGTGCTTTTCTAAATGCTTTCTATGCCTTCCACAATGTTCTTAAGAACCCATGTAATAAAGTAATTTGGAACAAATAAGATTTGATTGATGGTTCTCTTCCAGGCATTTAAATCAAGAACTGAAGAGAACTGGTGGCTCTAAAACATGAGTAAGCCACCATTTAGTTAACATGCATCTAGAGAATATTTTCAAAAGTCTGGTAAAAATGCAATCATTGCTTTTTTAAAAGAGGATTGACAGCCTTTGTTAATAAATGGGCACTCGATAATTCTTAAAATGTAAGCTAGTTTTCAATTTTAAAATCAATATGCCCCCCCTCAAATTATTTTACAAAGGAGGTTGCAGCGAAATAACTGTTTCCATTCTGTTTCTTTAAACGCTATCAATATTAAAAATATTAGAATCCTATCATGTTAAAACTAAAATTCACTAGGACAAAATACAGATTACTTGCTGGTTCACCAAACGAAAGCACGGTACTTCTCAGGAAAATAAGCGTCCGCTTCATCAGTAACTGGAACGGGCAACACTGAGACCTCTCGCCCCCACCCCCCACCCCT